CGGTTGTAGATGCTGTAAACTATTTATTTCTGTGGATGGGAGGGAATATGGTGCAGCATTTCTGTTTCAAAATAAAATCATCCTCAAACCTAGCTATTTTAATATTGTCAAGGCTTAAAGAAAATTGTTGCTTAGATTAGCGGAAATGGGTATATGAAAATATATTCAATGGTGCCCTTTATTGTATCTCTTGGCACTTAGAGCATTGTAAGGCATGGTATGCAAACACATTCTTATGGCTTCTGCAACTGGATTAGCTATATCTAGTGATGAATGCATGTGTGCATTCAGTTCCAGTGATCCGGTCTAACTTCCATTGTCACACACCCCATGCCCCACGGTTCTATCTGCCCCATTGAACTTGGGTTCTGTAGCTGCAATTTAGAAGAATGCTGGATATGATTTACAGTGTAAATATTATTTGATATAAGAATAGGGTTACTAGTTTCCCATCTAGGATTCTTTTTTTTTTTTATCGACTTGATGAATGCGTTCTTCAGGGTTATCAGCCCTTGTGTCTCCAAATCATACCTCCATGCATATGCGGAAGCAATTTCTCAAGGGGTGTCACTCAGACGCCCTGTGGCTGTGGAGTTGTATTTTTTAACCCACTTGTTGCTCCATTCAGTAAAATCTGATCATTTATTACTTGGACCAAATCAGTGAGATGCTTATTTCAATGGACAAAGGTTACATGTTGCATCTTTCTGATGTCGCTGTAGGAAGTGGAATATGGCAAAGCTGGGAAGCCAAAGGAGCTTACTACTACTACTACTACTACTAATAAAGTGCAGAAAGTTTAGAAGGTTGGTCCATATGGTTAAACATTCACTCCTTTTTGTTTCTCATCCTTCTTTTTTCTTTTTGCTGATCGGCTGCATGTTTAATCCTGTTGGCAGCAAACTTCATTCCAGGTTGTGTGTGTAGTGAAGCGAAGTTCTATTTGTTAGATCTTGTCATTGGGGCTTCAAGAGTTTTTGCCTCTTTATCTACCTGATGAAGTAGGGTCTACATTTGACACAAGGGGCACTTGGATCATCGAGAGTCTGAAGTTATTGTTTTTTGTTGGCTCCTTTCAGGGTCTGCTGTAATCTGAGACGCAAATTGCGTATTTGCAGTGGCTAAATGTTGCAGTTCAACATCTTATCACATTGTCTTGCATTGCATATCGATTGCACGGCATAAATTTCCCTCATCATTTCACTTTACCCCTGCTGGGTCTGGATCCCCTCGGCGAGTGATCATATCTCATTGCATATACTTGTCCTAAATGACCCTTTTTAGTGCTCACTTTACTTCTCTCTCTCAAAACTTATTGAGCTCCTTTTCGGTACACCCCCTCACTAAACACGTATAATAAGGGCAGTATGGCCTTTCCACAAGAACGTATACCCACTTCTCTTTATTTTTTTTTGAGAAGGAAAAACGTATACCCACTTCTGTATGGTCTTCCGGGACGAGCGGTATGTACATGTAGAAGTTTGCCCACCTGATCCGCCGGCACCACCTTGTCTATGAAGATGTTTCTATTCGTTCACAGAAAAAGTGTCCCGATGGCTGGCCCCATAGGGCGGCCGTGCCAGAACACAAGGGGTAAGAGCAACTCCCATGGGGTGGGGTGACCCATTTCGTCCGCTTGGCGTCCGTTTGGGTCGGCGCGGACACAAAAGTCGGCCCAACGCGCCGACCCAAACGGACGCGCGTCCGCCTGCCGACCCGTCCCCAGTCCATTTTTGAGCGGATTTGCGTCGGCGCGGACACGAGAGGGACGC